GCAATTAGAATCTTGCTAGTCTATGCTTGTGCCCACAACATCAAACTCTATCAAATGGATGCCAAGAGTGCATTTCTCAACGGTTACATCAATGAAGAAGTATATGTTGAGCAACCTCCCGGTTTTGAAGATGATAAGAAGCCCAACCATGTGTACAAGTTGAAGAAGGCATTGTATGGCTTGAAGCAAGCACCTAGAGCATGGTATAAGAGATTGAGGGACTTCCTACTCTCTAAGGGGTTCACAATGGGCAAGGTTGACACCACTCTTTTCATCAAGAAGATTGGAAAAGATCTATTTGTGTTGCAAATCTATGTTGATGACATAATATTTGGATCAACCAATCAAGACTTTTGTGGTGAGTTTGGAAAGATGATGGCTAATAGGTTTGAGATGTCCATGATTGGAGTTGAGTTACTTCCTTGGTCTTCAAATTAAGCAATTGAAGAATGGTACTTTTGTGAGTCAAGGCAAGTATATCAAGGACATGATCAAGAAGTTTGGCATGAGTGATAGCAAAGTCATTAGCACCCCAATAGGAACCAATGGCAACTTGGATAGTGATGCAAGCGAAAATATGGTAGATCAAAAGTTGTATTGGTCTATGATTAGAAGCCTACTCTATGTGACCGTATCAAGGCCGGATGTCATGTTTAGTGTATACATGTGTGCAAGATTTCAAGCCTCACCAAGAGAAAGTCATTTGAAGGCTACAAAGAGGATATTGATGTACTTGAAGCATACACCAAATGTTGGTTTGTGGTATCCCAAAGGAGCTAAGTTTGAGCTAGTTGGTTATTCCGACTCGGATTATGCGGGATGCAAGGTTGAAAGGAAGAGCACCTCGAGCACATGTCAATTGTTGGGAAGATCACTTGTTTCATGGTCATCAAAGAAGCAAAATAGTGTTGCATTATCAACCGCCGAAGCCGAATACATATCCGCCGGTAGTTGTTGTGCACAAATACTTTGAATGAAGGCCACTTTGAGTGACTTTGGAATCAAGTTCAAGAAAGTGCCATTGCTATGTGACAATGAGAGTGCAATCAAGTTAACCAACAATTCGGTTCAACATGCAAGAACAAAGCACATTGATGTCCGCCACCATTTCATTAGAGATCACCAACAAAAATGGGACATTTGCATTGAGAGTGTAGGCACCAAAGATCAACTTGCTGATATATTCACCAAGCCATTGGATGAGAAAAGGTTTTGCAAGCTAAGGAATGAGTTAAACATATTAGATTTCTCAAATATGTGTTGATGCACTCCCCACTTATATGACATGCCTCTCCTCCGAGCAATCCAAGGTAAAAGTTGATTGGCATGGCATACATCCTTGCTAAGGACATGTTTAGTGCATCTAGTCATCTCTCCATTTTATTAGGCTCATTCATGAAAATCAAATGAATTTGATATTTATATGGTATCACTATTGCTTCTATGCTTGACTTGATCTAGTGATAGCATATGACTTGTTTATGGGCTTGTAAACCTAGTGTTTGATCTAGAAAATACGCTCTAAGTATTTAACTCAACATGGTACAAGATAACCCTTATTTGAAGGTGTGAAGAAGCTTGTCCTTGGATCAAACCGAGTTAAATATCTTTGGCAAATATTCTAGTTTGAACCAAATTTGGGAAAATGATCCTCACCCTATTGATTGACATTGATAATCTCAACCTATCCACCTTTTAAACCTTTATGGTCATTGATGACAAAGGGAGAGAGAAACAAAGATATAAGTGATAGGGGGAGAAATAACAAAGAAATTAGTACATGAGAGAGAAACAAAAGATATTAGTGTACTAAGATTGTGAAAAGACAACGAAGGGAGATAACTTGACATAGGGGGAGAGATATGAACTTGTATGGTGCATTTGAATGTGCATTTCATATGTTTTCTTGCATGGCACAAGTTTTAAATTTCAATATCCATGCTTGTGTGGTGTATGCTAGTTGTAGGTTTGAATGATGAAATAAAAAATTAGCATGAATAGATTATCTAGTGATTTCATTTTCTAGTATTATCAAGTGGTATCTAATGATTTCATTTCTAAGTGTTGTTTCCAAGTGGTATCAAGCTAACCATGATGCTAAGGATGGTATATTAGTACACTCTGATTGGTATCACGCTTCAAAGGTCCATCTTTCATACCTTAGCATCACTTGGTAGACATTGTCTCCTATATTTCCTATCTAAGCATATGTGCAAGCTTCAATCCAAACTCTTAGCACATATGTAGGGGGAGCAATTGCTACCATTTAGGGTTCATGAAACTTGTCCATATTCTTTTACACATGGTAAATATGCTTGGACAGGTAACATGGATTTAATTGAATTTTAATTCATATCTTTGTATAAGAGTTGTCATCAATTACCAAAAAGGGGGAGATTGAAAGCTCTAGTTTGGTTTTGGTGAATTGATGAAACCCTAAGTGCTAACCTAGTTTATCAAGTGATCATGATAAATGTAGCACACTCCAAGTGGTGAAGCAAATGAAGATCATAACATGATGATGGTGATGCCATGGTGATGATCAAGTGCTCGGACTTGAAAAGAAGAAAGAGAAAAACAAAAGGCTCAAGACAAAGGTATAAATTATAGGAGCTATTTTGTTTTGGTGATCAAGACACTTAGAGAGTGTGATCACATTTAGGATCGATAGCCTTACTATTAAGAGGGGTGAAACTCGTATCGGAATGCGGTTATCAAAGTGCCACTAGATGCTCTAACTCATTGCATATGTATTTAGAATCTAGTGGAGTGCTAACACCCTTGAAGATGTTTGTGAAAATATGCTAACACATGTGCACAAGGTGATACACTTTGTGGTTATCACATTTGAGCAAGGGGGAAGAAAACAGAGGAGATGCCAGTGTCGGTCAAGTGACCGGACGTCAGATCTCGAATGCACCGGACGCCGATCGCTCACTGGTCCGGTCAAGCTACCGACTTGGCGCGGTATAGAGCTAGGGTATACCACCGGACGCCAATGTCGTGGTCCGGTCGAGGTGGAACGGACGCTGGACCCTTTTGGACCGTTATCAGATTCGACCGACGCTGAGGCTCCAGCGTCCGGTCAGTTTAGCCGGAGCATCCGGTCAACACTTAGCCGTTAAGATTTGACGGTTCAGTTTTAACTCAGAGTGACATGTGGCAAAAATCAGTGGACCGGACGCTGAGTCTAGGGTCCGGTCAGTCTGACCGGAGCGTCCGGTCGAGGCGTGTTTTGACCAGTGAAGGGGTATAACGGCTCTATTTTGTGGGGGCTTCTATTTAAGCCCCATGGCCGATTCAAGCTCACTCTCTTAGCCATTTTCATTGACATAGCAACCTTGTGAGTTTAGCCAAAACCCTCCCACTCATTTCCATCATAGATTAAACATCTTTGTGAGATTGAGAGTGATCCAAGTGCATTGCTTGAGTGATTGCATCTAGAGGCACTTGGTGATTGTGTTTCACTATGGATTTCGCTTGTTACTCTTGGTGGTTGCCACCACCTAGACGGCTTGGAGCAGCGAGGATCGTTGAGCGGAGGGTGGTGATTGTCTCCGGCTCCGATCGTGGTGATTGTGAGGGGTTCTTGACCTTTCCCCGGCGGAGCGCTAAAAGGTACTCTAGTGGATTGCTTGTGGCTTGTGTGATCCTCATCTTGTGTTGGTTGTGTGGCACCCTATTGAGGGTTTGGCGTGTGAAGCCAATTAGCGCGTGAATCTCCAAGTGAGTGAATCGCCACAACGAGGACTAGCTTACCGGCAAGCAAGTGAACCTCGATAAAAAAATCATTGTGTTCATCATTGATTCCGAGGTGATTGGTCTTCATTGTTATCTACACTGAGATATACCTTCTTGCCTTCTTACTTTTTTTACCTTACATAGAAACTAGTTGTCAAGCTCTTTAGTGTAGCTAGTTGTGAGAGCTTGTTTGCTTGGTTGGTGTGGCTCTTTAGTTAGCCTTTGAGAGCACACTAACATAGAGTAGTGTCATAACTATTGTGTGATTAGATACTATCTAAACTAGAATTGCGGTAGGCAACTTGCATTTTAAGTAGGCTAGCGCAACACTTGCTTCGTCTTATAATTGTCTAACATTTTTGTTAAGTGTTGTTGTAGAAATTTTATTAGGCTATTCACTCCCCTTTAGCCATTAGGACCTTTCACTCGCCCAAGCAAAAAATAGAGAATGAGATGAAACATTTCATGGCAGAACCGTTTCACAGTGAGTGTTTGGCACCGTTTCTACCGATTTCAGTGAAAAACAAAACCGTTTCTTGCTTCGAAATGGTCCCTAAAACTCAACTTACACACAGATAAACAAAAATCTTGTTGAGGGGTAAATTGTACCGATAGAAATAGTTTGCGAGAATAAATCAAATCAAGCATTAGTTTAGAGGATTATCTGGACATAGGCCAAACAAAATTAGAGTGAGTAATCTAGACTTTTACCTACCGATTACTGCCTTGGTCTTTTAATAAATCAATTCCTAGAGTTGTATGTTTGACCAAATTTATAAAAAGAGCACAAATATTTATGACACGAAATGAGTATATTACAAAAATATTTTTGGTGTATATAATGATACTAATTTGGTTTTATAACTCTTTACACTCTTTTTTTTATAAATTTTTTATTTGATGATTGTATTTTTTTATAACAATGATGGGCCATGTAAATCTTGGGTCTGCGTGGAATCAAAGGCTCGCCAAGCACCAATCGCCGAGATCCAGTTCGCCGTGATAACTGACAACCTTCTCACCAATCGCACGTCGGCCCATCTCTCTCTCTCTCTCTCTTTATTGTTACTAATAGCACGCGAAAAAATGGGTCCCAAATGCAGCGTTTGCAGTAATAAACAATTTGGAGAGACAATCGTCAGCGATTTGATCCAAGAATTTCCGTATGTAATTGCCACATTTCTTCCTCCCTGGTTCCTTCTCTTTCTTGGCGCGTTGAGAAGAGGACAGAAGAAATGGGGTTCATATCGGGAGTCATAATGGGGATGATCGTCGGCGTCGCCCTGATCGCGGGCTGGGCTCGCGCCATGGCTCGCCGCGCCGCCAAACGCAGCAACAAGGTAGGTGCAGCTGCATCATTCCGATTTGATCTATGCAATCTTGAAAAGTTTTGATCTTGATATCTCCGCCTCCAGTTATCGGGTCTTTGATTTTCTCTCTGATAGATTTGACAGTGGAAGATAAGCCTTTGGTTAGTAAATACAGATTGACTGTTAAAAGTGCGGTGTATATCTTCAATTTGGTGCAAACGGTTTAATTGACACAGCCTATGTGTTACATTTTCGTGTGTTCTCTGTTGTTGATTTGTGTCCAGCATGTAAAATGTATCTTGAAAGTGGACGCCGCTTCACTGCAATTTTGTTTCATCTGGGTTTATGGAATTAAATTTGTGCATCTTAGTTTGGGATAACTTTAAACATAGTGACACATTTTGAAACAGGCTGCGGATGTCAATGCACTAGGATCTCTCAACCGTGAAGACGTGAAGAAAATATGTGGAGAAAATGTTCCCCAATGGATATCATTTCCAGAATATGAACAGGTGAAATGCTACTTGACTTGATGTAGCTATAATCGTGAAACTGTAAAAATGCTGTTGCTGTATTGGCTATTTTGTAAATTTGACTATTTCTTGTCCCACGATATTCACTACCCAGAAGTTATCTGAATTTTATTGTTGTAACTCCTAGACAGAGCTTCGCAGAGAGAAAACCTTTTGCAGTCCATATATTTACCTCAGAACTCCTCAATGCATAAAACCTGGAAAATGAAACATCAACTGTTCCATCTGATGCAGTTGTCTCTCCTAGAGCTATGTCCCCTTGATTTGTTGCTTGCATGCTTCCCTTGATACATATTTTTTGTTTTCATTTCAGGTCAAATGGCTCAACAAACAATTGAGCAAACTTTGGCCCTTTGTGGAAGAGGTAAGATGACCACTTTGGTTTTTGTCAGAAAACTTCATTATGGGGGCAAACAATTTAGAATGAAGTTACTCCCATTTTAGACATACAGATCTTACCATTTTGCTGCCAATAACTATCCTGATTCATAGTTGCATCTAATTATAGGCAGCAACCATGGTCATTAGGGATTCTGTCGAACCGATACTGGATGATTATCGACCACCAGGGATATCCTCACTGAAGTTCAGCAGACTCTCCCTTGGGACTGTTCCACCGAAAATAGAAGGTTGCTAAGACAAAATGCTGTCGATTTAACAGTTATATGCTCTCATAGGATCTCGCTGTGACATGCTATTTTGTGTTCAGGCATTCGGATTCAGAGTTTTAAGAAAGGGCAGATTACAATGGACATGGACTTCCGGTGGGGTGGGGATCCAAATATTATTCTTGCAGTCGAAACACTTGTTGCTTCGCTTCCCATTCAGGTTTGCAGATCGCCACAGGCCCGTGACCAAAAGGGATATTAGATTTAATTTCCCACATTTTTATAAACGAATGTTAATTTTTGTCGTTAAAGTACCTAAACGTATATAAAATAATTTACCACGTGGAACGATGTTGGTAATTACAGCTTAAGGAAACCAAGTAAAAATGGATCCTCTTAATTATATCCTTTTAGACTCCGTTACAATTGTTTGCCTGCAGTATAAGATTTTATGTTTGCACTTGTCTAAAAAAACCAGGAACTCATGTTTAAACTTCAATTTTTGTTTTCTCATCTTGCTAATTATTTTAACAATTCCTGTGTTTATTTGTATATACGTATACAGTTTAAGAACCTTCAGGTGTACACCATCATCCGTGTTGTCTTCCAATTGTCGGACGAGATACCATGCATATCTGCTGTTGTCGTTGCTCTTCTGGCAGAGGTGTGCTTCTTTTAGCTACTGAAACTCCTCTAGTCCTATGTTATCTAGTCTACGCTTTGATTTTTTTGAATTCTAGTTCAAAACACTTAGTTGTCAGAGATGTTGCATATGAGAGCAGTCTTTCTTTTGTTTCAATGTCAAGGAGACATGCTTTATTTCTTGTAATATATTTGTTTCTGAATTCTGAGACGCGCGGTTTCCCTGCAATTGCAGCCAAAACCGCGAATTGACTACATACTGAAAGCCGTGGGAGGAAGCCTGACCGCAATGCCTGGGCTTTCACGTATGAAATGAACTTTCCTTTCTTTTGTTTTCACCTTTGTTTCATTCCTATCTACAAATCTGAGAAGGAAAAAATAATCATATTTCCCCGTTATGTCTGTGTAGGATACAGTGGCGTCACTGATCACTGACATGCTCCAATGGCCACACAGAATCGTTGTTCCACTGGGTGGAGTTGACGTTGACGTCAGGTTAATATAATCTGATATTGTTAGAATCATGTGCATGAAGTTGTTTGATCTGTCTACTCGAAGAACTTGTTAGAATGACAGAAAGGTTATGGTGCGCTCTTGTGCAGCGATTTGGAGCTGAAGCCGCACGGGAAGCTCACGGTCACTGTGGTCCGCGCAGAATCCCTCAAGAACAAGGAACTCATCGGCAAATCCGACCCCTACGTGGTCTTGTTCATACGCCCGATGTTCAAGGAGAAGACCAGCGTCATTGACGACAACCTCAACCCTCGTTGGAACGAAACGTTCCATCTGATCGCGGAAGACAAGGAGACGCAGTTCCTAATTCTTGAGGTGGACACGAACTGATAAACCTCACTGCTTGCTTCCTTCCAGGTACTCCTAAGGCAAGGACTCATTTTTCTCTGGACCTTCAGGTGTTCGATGAGGACAACATGAAGCAAGACAAGAGGCTTGGCATCGCCAAGCTGCCCCTGAGCGACCTGGAGATGGAGACCGTGCAGGAGGTGAACCTGCAGCTGCTGTCGTCGCTGGATACGACCAAGGTCAAGGACAAGAAGGACAGGGGCGTGCTCAGCATCAAGGCAGGATCGATCAGTCTCGTCCTTTTCGTGTTCAGTTCAGTTGGCAGCAACAAGTCCCTGGTTGTCTGACGTTCCTTTTGCAAGCTATATTGCAGGTGGTGTACCACCAGTTCACCAACGCAGAGGCACGGGAGGCCCTGGAGCTGGAGAAGCAGACCGTGGAGGAGCGGCGGAAGGTGAAGAGCGAGACGGGGGCCGTCAGCGGCGCCGCGGACGCGGCAAGCGGCATGGCGTCCACGGTCACCCACGTGGCCGGCACGGGCGTCGCGGCGGCCGGCACCGTTGCCAGCACGGGCGTCAGCGCGGTCGGCTCCGGCGTTGGGATGGTTGGCACGGGCATCGGCGCCGTGGGCTCCGGCATTGGCGCGTTCGGCAGTGGACTCCATAAGGCCGGCAAGTTCGTCGGCCGGACTGTCACGGGACCCTTCAGCAGCGCTAGGCGCAGCGCCAGCAGCGTCCCCAACGTCGTTGACGAGTGACGAAACTAGCTTAGCAGCTGCTAGTTTGTTATATTATTAGATTGTCCACAACTCCTTTAGGCTTTGCTTCGATGTCACATGCAGTCAGACGTGTTTAACACAACTTTCATAACGTGCTTCTGGTTTAGCTTTTGCTTTGGTTATAAGACACAGCTGATTCAGGGTATAAATGAGATAAGATGAAGCACTGACGATGCTTGACAGACCAGGAAACGACTATCGCCAGCAGCGTAAATAGCACTCTTTATTGACAATGAACGTAGTGGAATGTTTAGCCTTGAATACAGTGCTTATTTATATCCAACACACCACCAATCGGCAACTACTTATTAGCATCATACAAGGGTGATATCACCCCATATTTGTTGCCAACTACCCCAAAAATCCACTGCATAGCTAAGGAAGGAAAAATGATGCTGTTCGTCCCATGCTTAAACAAAGGGACTGAGGTTTATGATCCATCCGAGACAACAGATGAAAAAAATGATTTGTTCTGGGAACAAAGGCCACCAAAGATAGATTTTACATCGGCTACAATAAATACAAATGTTGGGACGAGCTCAATCTTCCTCCTCACCAATCAGTGCGAAGGAGAATGGGGCGAACTTGTAACCGTCACCTTCATAGAACTTGTTCTGGAACTCCACCCAGTGAAGCCTCAGCGCGTGAAGGAATGCACTCAGGGTCTCCATAACAAGCAAGACACCAACCGTGGCAAAGACGAAGACGATGCCACCGAGAATAAGGGCGAAAACATTGTTAAGCCTACAAGAAACAATTGCATTTCAGAAAGTGCCAAAATGTTTATTTTAATGGCTCGAGAGACTTGTTTGCTTACCCCCATGCCGTTAGTAGTACTTTATCGTAGAATACAGTGGACAACTCGGAGTGTGCAAGACTGAAAGGAGAATATCCATAGCTCGTTAGTAGCCAGTGAGGTAAAAAAAAATGACTTGTTTGGCTGCACTCCAATGCACCTATGTGGATTAGGGTGCAGCCAAACAAGCCCTAGGAAGTATGGGACTGTGCATAGGTGAGGCTGTGTAAATACTAAATAAATATACTGCTTAAATTAGCATTACCTCAGAGCCCAAAGACGAAGGTATGAAGCTGTGTTTGAGACTGCACCAAGAACAAATTCGATCGTGTGAATCAGTTGGTGAACAAAAACTTCACTGAACTCAAACTCCTCATGGTCATGTGTGTCCTCACGATGTTCCCCCAACTCTGCTCCCACTGATTCATCAGTGCCCTGAAGCATAGCGTACTGGTGACCTTGATGCCTCTGATTGAAAAGAAATAGAAAAACAGTCAGTGTAAAAGTAAACTGCAGCCACAAAACATCAAGTCGCCGATAGAATAATACTATTATGTAAACATACTTGCTGATGTTGCTTCTTCAATAGAAGAGGTTTTGGAATCAACATCCAAGGTACAGACACCAAAGCAAGCAGAAGTAGAACAAGCTGCATTGGAAAAGGTGAATGGTTAGGCATGATAGACCAGTCTGCCTCACAGAAGAGAACTTATCAACAATGAATATAGACCTGCACTGTCTTCTGGCCACTAAACAACTGGTTCTCACCAAGCTCATCTGTGGGGCTAAGGAACATGTAGATCATAACATGGTATAGATCTGCTTTTGACCCCGTGCACCACTTAATAATAATGAGCAAGGACAGGTAACCAAATAAGCTGTTCAAGAAGATCAGCTGGGGAATGAACTGGTACCTGTTTCAAATGAGTACGTGGAAAAATCATAATCTATTGATTGTAACACGCTGTTAAAAGATCAACTGCTTCTTCACAATTGTTGTAGATCCTCATCTCAAAATGGAATGTCATATTGTCTGATAAAATAAAAGGTGAATAGACTTACCACACATTAAGGCTGTTCCTGAAAAATTTTGCATTGAAGTAACTAATCACAATCCCAAGGTTCATTTGTGCAACTCCAAGAAGAATCGACATCTTCATCTTCAGTGAATTGAGAAACGGCAGCTCGCTGCGGCTACCATACCAGACAGGGTCCACACCAAAAGGGTATGCATCTCTTACCTTAATTAGTCCATCAGTAGTAGCATCACTATGACCAAAAGTGGGGAAATTAATTAGCCGGATAAATGTGCAATTTTATAAATAAATAAATAAACATAGGTTTCTTTATATCATTTTCCTTACCTACAAGAAGGATCACGGCATTCATAGGCAGATTTACCGAAAAGCCCAAATGGAACAGAGAAAAATTCATTGTATATTAATCCTGTGTAGATTGAAAAAATTGCCATCATCAAAATTACATAACGCCCACCATACATCATCTCCATTATGTCTCCAAGTTTCTGTGACCAAAAAAAGAGATGTAACGGCAGCTTTAACAAAGAAATTATTAACAAAACTAAGTCCTCTCATATCCCAGATTCTTAAGTAAAAAAAATTCTTGGGGAATAGAGCTAAAGGTTTCAACTCCAAAACAGGTCGTAGAATTGTAGTACTACAGACACACAGATAAGTGAAGCAAAATGCAATCAAGACTAGTGGACAAACCTGTGAAGCTAGTTTCTTCTCCCGGATTATCAGATAAAGTGTTGCAAGTAACAAGCAAATTCCATGGCCCCAATCACCAAACATGACAGCAAATAAGAAAGGGAAAGTCACAATGGTGAATACTCCAGGATTTGCTTCTTGATATTTCGCCACACTGTACCACATGGAACACAGCATTAGCACTTATCCACCTTACAGTATTGAGCCAAACCTCAAATGACATGAATTCCACTTATTTATAATTACAAAAATAAGCAGTCCATGTTAGCCTTTGTCTAAGGAAGTAATTTATGTTTCTAAAACATAAAGGATTGATTTTGACAGAAACATTAAGCAAATAACTGTGAATTCTAACCTTGATCAACAATCGCTACGCATATCCAAATAAAAAATTGTTAAGAAAATATACTTTTGACACAACAGTTCGTTAGCATTAGTTACGCAAAAAATATTCACTATCATTTATGCCACTTGTCCCATGTGAGGTAAACTGCAAGGGTAGTTAGAAAACATACCCATACGCATCAACAATTTCCTGGAACGCTGTAGTAAATTTATTTGTCTGGAAATATGTTGGAGGAGATTCTTTTGTGTTGAGAACTTGAAATATTGAGCCAACTTGGGATTTGCTATCAACAGTAGCACGCTGGAGAGCATCTTGAATCTGCAGAGATCCATTGTAAACCATTCCCATTCGAATGTCAAAAGGGGAATCAAGAAGGCAGCCAGGAGAACATAGAGAATGCACATTTTAACTACCTGAACGCTTGCAAAAACTGGACTCCAGCCCTCAGCAACTAGGCATTTCTTCGTAACATCAACGCTCAGCATGTTCAAGGTGTGATAAATTGCTTTTTCCTTCTTCGCCTGTAGCATTGATTTTGAAATTTAGTAATGATAATGAAACTGTGATGAGATAAATAGAATGCAAAGTAAAGCAATATAAGAAACTTTAAAACGTAAAATTTCATCAAATTCATGGAGATAACAAGTGAAGATTACCAGATGGTTCCACTGTTCAAAATCAGAGGCGATATTTTTTAATATACTGTCACGATGAGCTAAACCCATGTCAATTGTTGCCTTCAACTCTGAGATCTTCGCAGATACCTATAAGATCATAAAATTCAGATCATATCATAGGTTTAAATACTGATACAGGAAAAGACTCTCCTATTAGTGCCCCCTCAGCATTAATTCAAAACTCTTAAAAATGCAAGCACAGCCAGCAAATTATTTTTGAGCAATTGACAACACTTAGGTAATAAAATGTTCACCTTGTATTGAAAATGCTTACATGCAATCTTAAGACTAAGGCAGAGTCATTTGTGAGTGGAACTAAGTATCCAACGTGACCATTCCAGTAGCATCACAACAGCATTTAATTGCACACTCATATCACATGCAAAGCACATATCCAAAAGGACATTGTTCTTCACATGCCGAATTTGCTAACTTGAATTTCTAGTTCACAAGAATCTAAACCACGTAACACAACATCAGAAGTTATCATCTACCACAAAGAACTCAATAAGGAATATCAACAAATATCGTATTTGAAGTGCTGACCTCCTGAACAGCATGAAGTTGTTTGCTAACATCTTCTGGAAACGGGTAACGGTTCGCATTGAAGGCATCACATATCTTCAGAATTTTGGTTTTTGCCCTCTCTCCAGAGTAGAATATAACAAATGCATTCTTCGTTACCTGCATAACCATACAAAAGGTTGGCAGATAAGTCCAAGCAAAGAATAAACACCAAGCTTAAAGTTAGGGTGCTGATAAATGAGAAATATTATCAAGTGTAGCAATCATCACTCATGAATTAATCACTTAAATACCAAAATAGTCATAAAGTCATAAGTATCAGTGTTACTGCAATCAGAATTGTCCAAGTATTTGTACTGAGTTGCCTGCCATTACGTTTGGTACAAAGAATAGTTATATTGATATCATTCAGATTTTTCTTGCTAACTGTGCATATAAATAAGAACCATTAGCAATGTAGATATTTTGAAAGGGTCAGGAACGAAAAAATTCCAAAAGAATTTAAAAAAATAAAAAATGCTAGAAAATATGTGCCAACCTTCTCCCCAGAAACTGGATCAGTGACGGGCTCATCAACAGGCTCTTGCCTAAGGAAAATATTACCCCTTGTGGCACGGAATAAGATCCTTTCAAAAGCCATTGCCTTTTCCTTTGGAACAAGGCCACTCAATGAGCCAAGCTTCACTTGTTTTGATGGATCAGTTGACACCTCCTAAAAGAATACAACCAATGTGTCAATATCTTATTAAAAAGGAATATAATAAAAAAGATAAGATGAGAAGGAGGGTGGTGCTGCTTTATTATCAAAACAATCATTTTACCTGTTCCAACAGAGGGCTCTCCAGTGAAGTTTGACCAGATTGGTTTGCCTCCACTTCCCTTTGTTGTGCTGCAGCAGTTCTTTGAGCTGAATAGAAAAATTCACCAGCCTGAAAAAAAAAACAATTAATTAGAAGCTTAATTAGAAGCTTGGTGCCAGACATTGCACGGGTACCTTGGCCACTATACTGAAGTTGTAGAATGAGAACAGGGTGAGAAGGGAAACTGGCTCTCTAAATTAGTTCATTAATAGGATGACATCAAAACATGTATATACAATCAAATGACAAAACAATATCCTGCTCATTAATAAATTTATGCATCCAATGTGTTGCTAGGTGAACAATATTGATTGTCAACATGGGAAAATAATTGGAGCTTAGATATTAGAGCACAAAGGAGTGTTTCCTCCATTGAATTGCCATATCACTATAGAGGTAACTGAGGCAACAGATGTAGCTGGCAATACTCAATGAGGCCCAGCAGCAAATGATTACATAGAAACATATAAAATAAAGCAAAAGAACAGGGTGAAGAACCAATTCGTAGTAGCTAGAACTAACGTAATTCAAACCAAAGGAAATGGCACATATTTGTGCAGAGTGATTCACAGGGAATGAGACTAGCAACAAAAAGAAATAAAATATATAATGGGCCTGACCTACTCCTCTATTTGATTAACATATCATGATGCCAAAATATGCATCAAAGGTATATTTGATCCAACAGAATACTTTCAGAAACTTATACCTTTTGGAGAACAGTATGGTACTCTAATAGCTCACTGTAGGTCCTCTGTAACTTTTCATTGTTTGCATTAACTTCAGTTAGCTCAGCTTCCAGTTCTCCAAGCTTTATCTGTTATTAGGCAGTGTTAAAACATCAACTCAAGATTTATTGTGCATGGTCAGGGAGCATCCCATTGACTAACATACCTCCAAGTCATCAAAATCCAGATGAGTTTCATTTAGTTGTGCAGGAGAGGTTGTTATGTCAGCTTTTGACATCTGCTCCTTAAAAAACCTCAATTTACGAGCCATTTCGCTACACCTTTTGATCTGTAAGTAGAGTAGAACAACAAACATAACATGGAAAACCATATTAGACACATGTGTAAATAATCCTAATTGCACTTTATATAGTGAATAAATAAAAAGTGAGGTCAACTATGGTTTAGAAAAATGCCAAGTTTATATAGCTTGTCAAGGTTACGCCCTAATTTATCATAAGGAAAGGGGTTAATTTCATTAATAGCGAAAGAGAGTCAGCAATGAGAAGGGACTGCATATTGATGACGATTTCAAGTTAATGTTAAGGCAAAATTAAGACAAAATTGATGCCAAGGTAACTGGAGTATGTACCTGGGCAGCATATGTTCGTTGAAACGGGCTCTTCTCTGCATTAAGCTGTGGTGAAAAACAGTAATCAGATTAACAGTAAAACCAACAGGTATGTACCTAGAGCAGACATCAAAAGACAGACATCAAAAGCACACCATCACGATCAGCTAATGAAGCACAATAGCATACCAACGTGGGAACTGTAACTTTCATTGACTATTGGAAATTCTACATATGCGAGATAATTCCCAACACCAAACATTCATATGCTAATTCTGGGCTCCGACTACAACCAATCACACCAATGTTCCCCAATTTTGTAATGCCGACAGGAAACCCTCTCTAACTCCCAGGAAGCCCCGATCACAAAGTACTACTTATCACCTAGCCACTATCTTAGATCGAAATCGAAAGGGGATCCAGCTCCGGAACAAGTGGGATCGCCCGCCCCCCACGAGAAACCTAAAACTACCTTAAGCCTGGAACTGCCTAATCGAAGGGAAAAGCAGGGGCAGGCGGCCTTACGTCTTTGAACTGGAGGAGGCCGAGGTCGCCGAGGTAGGAGACGGTGAGGTGCGTGGACTCAGCGGGTATGATGACCTGCACCAGCTGCATCGCCTCTGACCGCATCAGATCCATTGACGGGCAGCAGCCGCCTCCGCCACCACGCGCCATGGCTGGCGTGCGCGCGTGCCCCGCCGGGTCAGCAGCCGACGCGCTGCTCCTCCGTCAGATCCCAGGAGATCCGACGAGGTGTTTCTGATCGGAATCGCGCGGGCGGAGAGGATCTCCGGCGGGTCCGGCGGTGGCCTGATCGGTTCCTCGCGTCGTGAGGAGGTGAGCGAGGGGGGAGGTAGAGACAGCCTCGGGCGGTGGACCATGTGGGTATTATGCGGAGACGTGGCGGGGCCGAGCACCGATTGGGACACTGACCCGTGGGGCCCAGGTGACAGAGTTCGGATCTGGGTGCTTGTGAATTGCGATTTGGGTGCCTGCGGCGATGAAGAAGAGTGTGGATTTCGCGGAGGAGATTGTGATTAGGCTACCCGGGCCAGGTATGTAGCTGTGGCCTGTGGATGAGAAAAGAGTTCTCCTTGTTGGTTTACGTGTTGGCCCGGTCGGTATTAATTGAGGCGAGGCGTGGGCCATCATAACTCTATAGCCTTCATATGGGCTTATATTTGGGCCCACATAGACGAGACCCAAATGGCCATGGAGACGTACAACTTATATAGCGGCCCAGTTTAAAGTGTTATAAACGGGTCTCGTGGGCTTTGCTTTGTATAAGTTTGGAAAAAAAAACCAAGGCCCCTTTCTAGCATGCAAACAAATTTTACAAGAAATTTGCCTAAAATGAATTCAACTAGCAAGGTGGTTTATTCAAATAGCTCGGGTAGCTCGCTTTATTTATCATTATAAGATTTTATTCTTTTAAGTGAACAAGTAGTTTTCAAATAGTTTTGTTCATTTGTTTGGTTGTTATTGTGTTGTCCTCATGCTTTCTCACTATATCTAGGGTCAGATCAATTCTTGGTTTAAAGATTGGATTGTTTTTCCATAGCTCTAGCGACTTCCATCTTTATCCCGTTTTTAAATAATTTTGCAACATGCATTGTGAGAAATCAAGGTTGATGTGCCCTTGACTAAAGAATGATGACTCCAACTTTATTGTATTTGACCTCCCTAAAAATAAACACCATAAATTTCGCCCTCAACTCAGAAACATGCATGCGCGCTCAACACTTGCTATCTGTACAGACGCCCCTCTTCCATGGTTTCCCTAGGCTGGGCATTTGGTCTGGCCAAACTGAATTGATAGGTTCTTGAGTCAATTTGGAAGTTCGGTCATCTAAAAACGGAGATCGATCGGTGTGGGGGGTATGACCCCGGATACCCACGGTAAACTACATGAGCTGCGCCCCCAGGGGTGGTTCAGCCCACAAGACGAAGACTTACGGTACACGGTACTGCTCAGCGTGTACCGCAAAACATCAAGGGCGATATCCTAAAGATGCTACGAGATCTGTTAGGATATGTTCGATCCCATGATTCATGTAATCTGTTATTACTCACTGATTATCTCTTAGATCTAACCGACTTGTAACCCTACCCCCAGCTATATAAGGCGGGTAGGGGACCCCTTCAAAACACACGCAATATCATACGATAGCCAATACAAATCAGCAGACCGCAGGAGTAGGGTATTACGTCGTGCTGATGGCCCGAACCTGTCTAACTCTTGTATCTCTGTTGCCTTCTTGTTATTGATTACGCGCACCTCTACCGATCAATCTACTTTCGTGGAATACCCCTTGGAGGACTGTCGACGATATTCTGTCGACAGTTGGTGCGCCAGGTAGGGGTGTGCGTGCTGTTTCCATAACGAACAAGATGGTACGTTTTGCAGGCTCTTCGTCCTCTCCAAAGCCCGGACAGATCTTCACGATCGGATTGATCTCCTAGGTCATCAATGCTGACGGAGACGGAGAGATCATCGAGCCAGTGCAGATCGATCCTGCATCGACCACACCAACACCTACAACAGCAGATCTGATCTTGGAACCATCTCCAAGGTTGTCTTCACCAACAACTCATCGCCTGCTCCCCCGCTACCCGAGGAAGCAGATCGACAACGACGATCTGATCACATCCATCGATCAGGTTGGCCAGAAGCTCGCTGACTGCATCTCCATCGCGGAATCGGCTCTGACCACTCTGGTTCAACATTGACCACCCTCTGATTCTGATCTATCAGAGGCTGATCAGTTAACTCCAGGGGTTACGCCCGCCATCCATCAGGACGTCCTAAGGGACAAATTCGCTGACCAGGTGGGAGACATCTATCCTCTCGCTGACCCGATCACCGACTAGCTCTCGTCGACTATCAATATGCTGCAAATCGGCCGATGCCCCGAAGCATCCCTCCACATCATCCTAGAGGAAAGTCCAGACTCTAAGTCCCAGGGCTCTACGGAGACTGTCGGTGAAACCGCCGCCATCCAACCTCCTTTCCCACCCTTCCGAGGAGGTGGGATTTTTAATGTCAGCGTCGATAGCCCTCCACGGGATGGAGAAACCGATGAGGACCGCGCAGCTCGTGTCAATAGAAACGCCAACCGTGCACAGCGCCGAGCGAATGAGGCCGCCATTGTGCTAGCCAAGGCTGCTCGCAATGGAGAACAGTTCAACTCGCAAGGGAGGCCACGCCCACTCCGCCGCAACCTCGACGACGAATTCATCCATGTCGATGGCCACGATGTCTATAAGACCCCAAGCGCCAACTTGGCCATGGCCGCTAATGAGCTCGCTCGGCTCGAGCAAACGCTAGAGGTCGCTAAGGTCGCCGCAATGCTTAAAGCTGCGCACTACCAGGTCAACGAGATCCTCTAGGATCACGGACCTTCCTACTCGACAAGCTCAAATCGCCGATCCGCCACGCCAAGATCCAATCACGCCGCCCCGGTAGAAGCCATTTCACCGACCAACATCGTGATGATGGACAACCTCTCCAGGGGGAGCTATGGGGAACCGCATCAAACTACCCTCGTCAACACGACCAAGAAGTGGATCAAGATGTCCAAGCACACATCAACAACCTCCGAGATGCATGACGTCATATCGACGGGCACCACTTCTCTTGGCATGAAGAGGAAGTACGCGGCGTCCCAAGAATACGAACAAGAATTCGGTAATCTAGATGTAGCCCTCCAGCCACTTAACGCCGACAATGCTGCAGATCCCGACGGTGATGATCCCAAAGGGCCTCGAGCATTCATGAGAGCACTTCGAACACTCCAGTGGCCCCATGGTTTCAAAATCAATAGGGTCGAGCCCTACGAGGGCGGATGAACCCCACACAGTGGCTACAAGCTTATGCCACCGCTGTGCGCATCATCGAGGGAGATACCAGTATCATGACAAACTATCTTCCCGTCATGCTCATGCCAACCGCAATGAACTGGCTCACGAGCCTCGCCCCGGATTCCATTGGATCTTGGGAACAGTTGAAAAATGTCTTCACCGACAACTACATGGCTATGTATACTCGGCCGGGCACCAAGCACGATCTGAATTGCATCTATCAGAAACTGTCCGAGCTCCTCCGTAGTTACATCAGACGATTTTCCGAGATGAAGAATTCTATTCCCAACATCACGGAAGTAGAAGTCATCAGCGACTTTCTCCGAGGACTCCATCACCACGACCTCCACTCCAAATTCAATCGTAAGCCGCCAAAGGGGATTGGCAAGATGATCATGACCGCCGATCAGTATGTCGACGCTGAAGAGGCCGAAGTTTGCTTCAACGAGGATGCGGGCACTCACCGCCCAACTCGCCGTAGCAACGAGCGCCCCGACGAACGACGCTATAGTGACCACCGCTACGATGACCACGACCACCATTAGGACAGTGCCCGTGATTGGCCGGAGGGATCCAAAGCTGGTCAATATCACCGCCGCCGGCCAGACAATGTCATCGCCACCATTGGCGAACCTCGCGCCAAACATAACTACAACGAGCAGTACAAGAAAATCCTCAAAGGCCCGTGCCCCCTCTACAAGAACAGTAAGCATAAGATAAAGGACTGCCTTGGCTTGGCTAAGGAGTTCTAGACCAAAAAGAAGGACGACGATAACGACGACGGAGCCAGAGGTCGTCGACCACCTAGGGACAACAATAACGCCTTTTAGGATCACGACAAAGTGGTCGCCACTATCTTCGGGGACCTCGCCGCCACCGAGAGCAGAAGAGACTGAAAACTCATCGCCCGCTGGGTGCTCGCCGTCAACACAGAAGACGCTATCGCCAACCCCAGCTACCGCCCCTGGTCTGAGGTCCCCATCATTTTCAGCAGGTGAAAGCTCTAGTTTGGTTTTGGTGAATTGATGAAACCCTAAGTGCTAACCTAGTTTATCAAGTGATCATGATATAGGTAGCACACTCCAAGTGGTGAAGCAAATGAAGATCATAACATGATGATGGTGATGCCATGGTGATGATCAAGTGCTCGGACTTGGAAAGAAGAAAGAGAAAAACAAAAGGCTCAAGGCAAAGGTATAAATTGTAGGAGCCATTTTGTTTTGGTGATCAAGACACTTAGTGAGTGTGATCACGTTTAGGATCGATAGATGTACTATTAAGAGGGGTGAAACTCGTATCGGAATGTGGTTATCAAAGTGCCACTAGATGCTCTAACTCATTGCATATGCATTTAGGATCTAGTGGAGTGCTAACACCCTTGAAAATGTTTGTGAAAATATGCTAACACATGTGCACAAGGTGATACACTTGGTGATTGACACATTTGATCAAGGGTGGTGAAGTTTGGGTGCAAGGGTAAGAAACTCCACCGGTGGAGTGTCTGCCCGTAGAGTACGGACAGTCCGACGGTGCCACCGGCGCCCTAGACAGAAAAGACAGAGGTCTCTGTGAGTGACCGGACGCTGGCCTCGGTTGGACCGGAGCGTCCGGTCAGTGGCAGCAGAGGACGTGTGTTTCGGTCTCGTGACCAGACGCTGGGTCGCTCAGCGACCAGACGCTGGCAGGGTGCGTCCGGTCAGTGCTGACATATGCTGACGTAGGGCGTATAGAGGAGACACTATGTGACCGGACGCTGGCTGTGTCCAGTCGGAAAAAATCGCGTTTGGAACCTTACTAGAAACGACCGGACGCTG